AGGGTGGCCGTAGTGGTGAAAAACGGAAGCTTCCAGAGGAAAGCACTGAAGGGCGAGCCCGTACAAGAAGGAGGATCAACCAAGCTACGGTCTGCAGCACCTTTAAAGACTGGGCCCAGAAAAGGATGTCTGAATATTACAAAGATAAGTAAAATTTTATGTTACTTTACAAACTTAAGTTAATCTTTCATTCTTACTGCAAGTGGCAGATTTCAAGAAGTTTTACCTCATGCGAGGTCTACCTTTATCGCCAAAAGGGCGAGAAATGAGTTGTGACCGATTTTCTTATTATGTTTTTCAATTACTCGCGCGTAAAACTAAAGTTGATGTATAATAGCGTTGTGTAAAGACTTAAATATTGTAAAAAAGTTATTGTATAAATTTTATTTAAAACATTCTAACAAGAAAGAAGTTTTAGTCTGAAAGACTTTTTGAAATGTAGTATTATTTCAATGTAGAAAGAATTGGCACTTGCTTTGAAAAGAATAGAAGTTAACAATGTACTACTAATGTATGTTTTCAAATGTGTAAAATTAACGGCATCTTGATATGTTCTTGTATACATGTGAACTGTTATTTTGAATGTTTAGAAATACCGTGATATGGTAAAAGTGAAAGTAATGTTAAAAATTTGTTATTCGTGTGACTGTAAAGATTAAATCATGGTGAATATGTGTTAAAGGTTGAATGATGTAGTTAGGCTCTCTGACGCTACACTTTAGAGTTAGCCACTTTCAGAATAGTACCTCAGGGTCTAGAGTTGAAATTAGGGTGTGTTAAGAGGTCTCGTATGTTGAATTTTAACACGTTAGTGTTTTTGATTGTAGGAGGAAGTGTTGAACACATAGACAGAAACACATTCGTGTTTGGTGTTTTTTACAACACATGTCAGAGAGCACGGGGAGAGATAATTAAAATAGTCATGAATGAAATAAGAATGTTAAGAAAAGTATATTCTATATGTTATTTGCAATGTCATTCTGTAACATTTCATTAAACTAGTTTTCCTTCCAGATCTCTGGAAGGAACCAGAATTGAATAAAGCTCCTGTTTTGATGCAGTACAGATGAAAAAGAAAAAAGATTGTTTGTATTTCCGGGAGCTGCTATTGTAACAAATTTCTTTCTTTTAAAATTTTCTAGTTTCTAGCTAAGTTATGTTTGTAAAAGTTTGGCCTCGCGTTAGTTTCTAGAGCTAAAAGTTTTCAACAAGGTCGTTTTAGACCTCAGTTTCAAACTAATTAACTCTGGCGGGAAGTATGTAAGGATCTTAAGTTTTACTAACGTTTATTTTATTTTAAATCTTTACTATCACTTCTTATTTTCTACTTCCGGCCAGAATTATAAGCGTGAAGGTTTTTATGCAAAGTTTGTCTGGCGAACGCCAAGTATTTAAGTGTGGCCTTTTTGCCAAGCAGAGGAGAGGAAGCCGTGAGTTCGAAGCAGGCCGCTTACCTTAGAAGTTACGCAGTTGCTACTTTGCCTTCCAGGCCAGAGGTTTTAATCCTCTTGATAAATTAAACGTATTGTAGTGTTCACAGTCTCTGTGCTACATACGCTTCCTGTTATTATAAGGCCAATCTTATTTAAAGTTAAATTAGAGTTTAGTTTTATTTTGATTCTTTTAGTTAGACCCGAGTGGAGGTCATTGTATTCCGAAGTACGGAAGTCATTGTATATAAAGAAAAAAAATAAAGGGTTTTGTATACCCTTCGTCTGTATCCTGTCTACTTACTACAATTAGTGAACATAGCTTTAGTAAGCTCTCTGTTCTAGTCAGGTCATTGTATGTTTCCGAAGAAGGTTAGAAGAAACATTGAACCTGATACATCTAATTCTATATGGAATAAAAAATGCGGTCTTACTAACATTTCAGCAAAGGACGTATTTCGTTTAATTTTTTAAAGCTATATTTCTGAACTAATGAGTGATACAGATAACTTGGCTAAGATTTCTTTGTTTAGTATGGAGAATTTCGTAGGAAAACTTTCCAGACTGTATTAAGCACACGCTTGTTAACAGATTTGTACAAAAAGATGCACAAAAAGAAGAAACATTTTATTCCCGTCTCCATTTGCGCTCAATATTGTACTCTGATAGAAAATGAAATTCCAGCACTAAGGAGGATTTGTGCTAGATAAACAACATTTGGGAGGCGTGTTTGCACATCTGAAAGATGATGTCTGTTCACGTTGTAAACCTCTTGAGCTTTATTTCTTCTGCACTGAGTACTCTGAGCGGGATCTAAGTCTAGAATTCCTTTAAGGAGACGAAGAAAGCAGTAAACAGCAACTTACTGAGTTTGAATAATAATGTGTAATAGGGCTACGAGAAGGTGGCTTTTCTTTTCGCGATATTTCAGAAAGACTTAACAGAGATGTATCCACTGTGTATGTATGTTGGCAGCAGTAGTTACAGGAAGGTATAGCCGCACATGTGCACATGCACACACTCAAAGAGAAGACCGCCGTATTCGTCGAATGTCTATAACTTAGAGCACTGTATCTTCAGCTGGCATTCGAGCTTTTATTAGCACCAAAGTGACAATGCGAACTGTAACAAATTGATTTTTTGAGGGGCAGGTCTGAGCCAGACGCCCTGTAACTGCCATACCACTAACTTCAAGTCACCACTACAAGCAATTTCACTGGTGTCAAGCTAAAACTCATTGGAGGCGGAGTGGAGATTTCTTATTTTCTTTTCAGATGAGAGCCATTTCTGTCTTACTGCCGGTGATGGCCGTATGTTGGCTAGAAGAAGTCTAGTTGAGCGTTTGAGACCAAGCTGTCTGCAGTGTAGACACATTGGATCTACACCAGGAGTTAGGGTCTGGAGAACAGTCTACTATGATAGTACGAGCATATTCATCATTACCTTCACACACTTTGATAACAAATTTGTGCTTCAGACTGGCGATTGCAGCGGTTGTGCTGCTGTTCTTGAACAATACTCCAGGGGACAGTTTTCAATGGGATAATGCTCGTCCCCCTACCGCTGCTATCACTCAACGTGCTGCACAGAGTATATCAATTATCAAGTTATCTTGGCTAGTAAGACCACCCGATTTTTCTCCCATCGAGCGCGTATGGAACATGATTGGACGACAAATACAGCGTAATCCACAACAAGCATGGGCAGTTGTCGATTTGGCTGATCAAGTGCAACAGGAACACAAAATCCATTCCACAAAATGACATACGGCATATGTAAGACACAATGCATATGCATTTGCATGCTTTCATTCGGCATCATGGCGACTACAGCGGTTATTAATGTTTCCTCATTTCACGTCTGAAATTTTTCTTTTCACGCGTACTTTAACCTGTGACCTTGAAGTATTAAATAAATGTGTTACCTATACAAATATTTTGGCGACATTTCAGTCCTATAACCTGATTTCTTTATGGTGTTGGGATTTCATTTTTCATCAGTGTTGCTAAAAATAAATGATTTCCATAGTTACTGAATTATCTTGTGTTCCCAAATTTCTCCGATTGTAAAACCTTGTGATTATTACGGTTACTTTTGTTACCGCTGCAGAAATTTGTGGGGATTAACCAAAGAAACATTTCCCATTGGAAAAGTGTGGACTGTTTTTCTACTCAGGCGTATCCAACTCTACAACACGGGTTCATGGTTGGCGAAAGGACTGTAGATTCAACATTAAGGCAAATAGGACTTTTTATTAAAGTTTTCAAACACTTTATATAACGGATGTTGGAATTTCGGTAATCCAAAATTCTTTAAAGTTTAGCAGAAAACTAAAATTCAAAACATATGGGTATTATGAGTTGCGGTTTGTAAAAAAATAAATCGTAAGAAGAGGAGTTTTCTTTTCTTTTTCGTTCCCCCCTTTTTTAAGGCAATAATATTTAGTTCAAATGCCTAGCAAGAGAAGGTGCTGCACTATACCAACAGTAACAATCACACTCAGAGTACGCCTGAAAACATTTTTCAGCCGTGGCATATACCGTGGCATATCAGAAAAAATCCGTGGCATATACCGAAAGCTCGTGTTTAGCGTATTCGCCAACAAAATACATATTATTCAGTAGATTATCAGAGCTCTTCTGACTGTGATCTTTACTGTTTCCGTGAAAGCTTGAAATAAATATGCTAAAACCTCCCTCTTCCCTGTAATTCATTTTCATGACAAACACGCTCCATTATTCCTAATTTTTCTACTTTTATACATTTTTTGAAATTTTTAACTTTGAGCCAGGTTGTTTATATATAATGAAAATTTTCATATAGTGATGCAAAGCATGATGACAGAGCTTGTACGTAAAGAAATTGCATCATACGTACAATGGAAACAGTGCTGAATTTAGCGCGTCTAGAACTGACTAGTGGCATTTCATCGGAGCTGGTTTCGCAAATTAAGTATGAAGAACTTTTTCATAAAATGGCTATTTCAATTAAAAAAAAAAAAAATATATTTAGAACAAGAAAAAACGAACAACAGTCATTTATTTTTATTTACTACAGATACTTTTTAAAACTATTATCCAATTATTGAAAATGACACAACTTTGAATAAATTTTGCATAATATACTTAGGCGATATTTCGGTATTAGCTACAAACCAAATATGATGAAGATAGCATTGTTTTTAGGAGAGTTGATAAGACTTTTCAGACAACTCATTAATTAATGTAAATCACAGCATTTAATATTTGTTCAGATTAAAATTTAAACGTGTTTCAATTAAATGAATGTACACAAATTTTCTGAGCGAAAAACTAGAGAAAAGCTAAAACAATTGATTACGCTTATGCATAAAATTCTATTCGTTAAAATACGGAAAATAAATTTTTGAAGCATTAGCATTTTCCTTCTACTGGGATATTCTTTATAGTATTTTTAATATCCTTGAGCTATTTTTAGATGTATTTCTTATGCAGAAATTTCAGTTTCAAATAAGCTTTTTATATACAGCATACAAAATGATGAAAATTATTGCAACTGGAAATATAAAGCTTCATGAAGAAATTAGAAGGAAATTACAGACAGCATTTTCGCTGGTAGATGATCACAAATTAACTACATTCCTTCATTGTCTCACGTAGAATTTCCACAAATTTATATTGAATCCTCATGATTATGTTTCAGACATTTTTGAGTGGCAGATTTCTAATTTATATTCTAATATTTTTCAGGTGAAGAATAGTGCATATTCTCAATTTTGGTGGGATCATTTTTCATACGATAAGAAGTGCTTAAATAAAACTTCAGCTTTAATAGAAGAAGAAAAGGTAAGGTCATTTAGTTTTATACGTTATTCGTACACAAAACATGTAAATAGAATGGTACAGGTAACAGAAAATCTAACTGCGAATAAGAAGTTAACCCTCCGAGCGTTACGGGATTAGCCCTAAAATTTCAAAGTTCTTCAAAATGTCGTGAACAAATGGTATTTTCTTGATTATAATTTAAAAAAAAACGACTCTCTCACTTTGTACCTTGATTCCCTTTCTACCAAAAAAATAGAAACTTCCCTTTATGAGTGAATTTCTGAGGAATCAATGATGAAGTAAAATCATTATGTGAATCATAAAAGCAAATCAACGTAGTAACAAGATAACGTACTTTTCGTGAGAATAACAGCGTTATGTATTATACATGAACTGAAATATTGTGAACTGATATAACCAAATGTTTTTCTTAATCTAATTATGCAAATAAAAAGTTCTTGAATGTAATAATGCAAATAGAATGTTCTATAATGTAAATAACTATAACTCGGATAAAACCAGTTTGAATATGTTATCATTAAAACCTGTAACTAAAACGGTTAGAAAATTTTGATTTACTCGGCATATCCCACAGGGCAGAGTACTCAGCATATTATACAGTGGTATGCATATTTTTAGGCAAATTGGACAGTCAGTCTTCCTTCGGTGTTTCTCTTTCATTACCGTAACTATCAAATTTAATAAAGCTTGCTTAAAAATAATGTTGCTATAATGTGTACTACTTCTTAAATTAAAACTGCATCAAATTCTTCAGACATTTTTCGTTTAGTGTTAATAATCAAAGATTACGAAGTGGAAAGACTATATGATAAGACACAAATAAACTGCTTCTTATTAACTGACAGCAAGACATATCAGCTGCTATTTTATATAATGTTCTAAAAAAATATCTCACAATAGATTTCGCAGTTTCTCAAAGCATCCTTCATACATAAGATCTAATTTAAAAAGAGAGATAAAGATTTCGATGCCTAGCAGAAGCTGAATGGATAAAACTCCGAAAAGCAAACAGTTCGTCCCATATCCCGTTTCCGCGTTCTAAATGGGCTAGGTGCATAGGAAGTCCAGTCTGAGATCCCCTCGTGTGTAATATAAATAAGAGTCAGCTTGCCTTAGAAAGTGTTTCACGTAGGCATTTCTTTTCTGGGAAGGCAGTCCTCGTATACTTTGCCTAGGAAAGAATACAAGGAAATTTTGGTTAATCGATATAACGGAATAATCACGAGAAAAGTGTACAGAAAATCCCACAGCCTATCAAGCTTTTTCTCTGTAGGCATTTTAAGATATCGAAATTTACATTAAAAGAAATCAAAAGCTACTCATTGCATGAGTTAAAAATTAAAATCAGGAAACTTCAGTTTATAATTTTAATATCTCGAAGAAGATTAATTAAAAAAGTACCTTTAAAAATGGTGTGGGGGGAATTTAAAAAAAAAAATCTGCGATCTGATTGCTATATTTGAATTTCAGTTTAACACTTTAAGCAGTTTAAAGCTAAAGAATTATAATGCGCCTGATAGAGAATGAATACCAAGAAAGTCGAGACACAGAACGTAACATGATCCACTAATCAGCCAGAACAATATGGTCGGTCCCGCACCGTGCGAACGAGCTTCCCGGGATAATACAAATAACAGATAACAAAGTAGAACTGTTAACCTAACGACTGCTTGGCATACTGAGACACCATTTAGTCAATTACATATGCGGATAATTAAGAAGGCTGCTGAATTTAGCTACTGAATCATGAAGGTTAAATTGTGTGATCGATGTCTCCGAAACGGAACGGGCGTGTGTGAACAGCTTGAGCTGTTGTTAGCACTTGTGAAATGGGGATGACGGAAGATGAAATTTATAGAAGACGCCGAGGCTTTGGACGTCCACGCCAGCTAAAAGAATGCGTTCTGCTTCAGAGACTGTTCTGCTTGGCGAAAGCAAACAGGCAGCTGCAGGTGAATGACCTCACAACTGAATACAAAGATGCAGGTACAAGTGGTATTTCAGCACACAATTCATGGGACTGTTAAAATACACGACTCTGCAGCAGATGACCTTCTCATGTGCCTCTCAATCCAATGTCATCGATATTTACGACCCATGACTGGATCACGCAACAATGGAAAAGAGTTACCTGTTTGGATGAATCTCAGCTGTTTTTTCTACATCACGTCGATGGCCATATACTGTCTATCACGTTAACAGTGTTCTGCGGGAAGTAAACAGCCGATGTTTGGAGGTATTATGCTTTGGGGGACGTTCTTATGGTCGTCCCTGGGACCAGTCGTTGTTGTACACATACCATGGCAGCTGCGGACTATATGAAATGATTGTTCTTCAGTTACACCCTTTCAGGGCATGTGTCTTGTCCACTGGAAATGGTCTCTTCCAGCAGGACAACATTCCTTAGAACAAGGCCGGACTACGCTGCAGTAGTTTGAGGAATATGCAATAGATGATATAATAGCGTAATGTAACGACCAAAAAAATTTAGACTCCGGTAAAGATGTTTCAGACTTCAAAATTAATTCAATCTGAACAAAATATACTAAGATCTTCTTCTAAGAGTTAAGATCTTTCCTATTATAATGTATTGGATAATTTCTGTGCAAGTTTCTCCCACTATTTAATTTTAATGGAACGTATGTTCAATTATTTCAGAAGGCGCTTTTATAAACAGATTGAAATACCAGCAAGCAGGGCCGGATTAAAACTTTTATAGGCCATAAGCACATAAAAGACTTTGGTGGCCCCCCTGCATTTACGCCAATTTCTCTTCCTTTTTTTCCTTTCTAGATCTCGGTTTACGCAGTACCAAACATTCCATACTATAATCGGCGACGGGAAATTTTGTGGCACCTGTATTCCTTGATGCCCCATTGCACGTGCTTATTTTGCTTAATGGTTAATCCAGGTCTGTAAGCAAGTCAAGAATCAAAGAACGCAACAAATTATCATCAATATCATGATTTCTAGTACAGTTTCTTGCTTCCAAAATGCAGTTAAAATGTGGAGCAAAGCATTTGAAAATTACCTAAAATATACGGCAACTGATACATTTTAATGTCTTAGCTTGAGTTTCCTCTCCCATAATTAAATTTTGTCAAAAAATCACATTCCCTATAACTGAGTTTACTGAAGCTAATTTCAAAAAGATCAAAATGATTTTCAGAAAATAATGAAATAACCTTTTTATGATCCTGCTATTATCCCACTTTAATATTACTGTAGGAAAATTCTGTGTTATGAAATAAACGTTTTATTTTCCTTAGATTCACCCAATTGTTGAAAGAATATATGACATGGATGACGCGCTTAGTGGATTTCAACAACTTGCACAATATGAAAACGTTGGCAAAAATGTTCTAAGGATCTCCACCGCAAAACTATCTTGAAAAAAGAAAAAAATATATATATTAGTAAAATATTATACAAACTTTGGAGCGAAAGGAACTGGAAAGGAGCCAGGAGTCACCCAAAGAAGGAATAATAGTAGGAGAGAAATATTATACTAGAGATTTGACTGCATTTTTTCATTTTCAATAAGTAATACATTATTTCCCCAATATCTAGTAAAGACTCTGATGTTGGTGCTTGGCATGTAAAGTAAATTATATAGTAGAAAGTAAGCTGTATTTTTAAATTATGATAGCTGCAGACTGTAAAGACTGAATGTAATGTTTTTGTTAATAAAATTGTTCTGCATGAAATAAAAATTTACTTTTAAAAAATTATCCACAAAGTACAACATTCTAGAAAATGTCGATTATTTCGATAGTAACTTGATGGAAGACACTAAGACGAACATCTCCATTTAATTAATTAAATCTTAAATTAACACTTAATCTTTATTTTATTGGTAATATTTCTTTATAATCTTTGTAATATTCAATACTGTCACAGCAGCCGATCACACATAATTACACTGCTGGTCATTAAAATTGCTACACCAGGAAGGAAAACAAATAGCTAAATCTTATTTATTGTATATATTTCGCATAATAGAAGGATACATGATTAAATTTGCAAGGGTGCTTTGGGGTACACAGCAACCAAAATTTAGTACATAGAGCTGGCACTCTGGCAGCAGCAACAGCTGTAAGCAACGGTAGCTGGAGAGTGGTGGAATGCCATTCTCTCAGCAACCAATGACCAGATGCAGTGGCGTAGCGATGGGGGGCAAGGGGGTGTATGATGCCCCGGGCGCCGCTCACAAAGGGGCGCCAAATGGTCTCCAAACAAGATTTTCCGGAAAATTTCAGTTTTCATTTTGATCGATTTGTGGAAAATATATTTAAAAATTAATAATTATTGTAATATAATTAATTAATTATTTTCTTGATTTGTCTGATAAAATGTTTGCAGTACATCAACCAAGTATCTGCGCATATAAAACGTTCTTTCCGACCACTTTATTTCTCTAAAATAGAGATATATTTTTATTTTTTTAAAACGAAATGCACGTATAGCTCTCGTTTTTTTATTTAAAATAATAACACGACATTGTCCCGAATTTCTCAAACATATCCAGTTTCCAGAAACCGATTCCATAGTCTGGAAATGACATTTTGGGAAACACCTAACGCTTCCGCTACTATGGATTGCGTTTGACTTTCGTGTAAACGAGTGATGTCCTTTCTGGCTACCGATTCAAATAAGTCATCTTATTGAGACATCGTATATTCACTGCTACAAAGCATTCAACGCGTGTCAGTTGTTTTAAATCTTCTATTACAAAAGGAGTGATGCAGGTCGCTCCTTACTCCTTATTTAAAACGCATAGTTTTGGACGTCACAGATTAAATTTGCATATTCTCAACTTTGAAAACGTTATAATTTTCCTTTATAATCTCTTTTATTTCCCTTTGTTTAAAAGGTTGTCGATTATATGGTTATTTTATACCAACCCCACAATATCCCCTAATTGTTTTGAGCAGTGAATGTGACTGTAAGATGTTATTCCTTCGCAGTAGAAAAGAAACCGTCTCTAAAAGTCCATTACAGATCTTACTTTCATAATAACGTGTGGAGAAAATGTTTTTCCAAACCTATAGAATTGTCGCACTTGAAATACTCCAATTGCATTTCATTATCAAATGCTACCCGGTATGAGATGTTAGTTCAGCAGAATTTAAAATAAATTTTTGACGTATTTACAATCAACGATGGGGACAAGATCCCCTAAGTCATCTAGCATTATTTTTAAATGTGGAAAAAGGAAAATTTGAAATGGGTCGACTTTGATGAAGTAATTGATAAATTTGCTTCCATACCAAGGCAAGAAAAATGTATACACAGTAATTAATTGCATATTAATGTATTATAATATTATATTATTATTAATAAATACATCTACTTATCTATAATATATATTAAACTTTTAATTGTACACTGACTACCAATAAGTATTTGGACACCTATGCAAATGACGATATCTGCGGTCCTAAGGTACGTCACGGACTCCGCCGGTATATATCGTGTAGGAAACAGCATCGGCCTAAGTCGCATGCAAGATGCCTCGCAGTTCGGAGCTCTCTGATTTCGAGAAAGGTATAATTATCGGGTATCACAAATGTGGCCGATCCTTAAGAGACATATCTAGCGATCTGAAGTACCCAAAATCGGGCCTATGTGATTAAGAAGTGGAAAGTGAGAGGTGATTGTCGGAATGTTCCCCGAGTCGGCAGACCAACGAAACTGGGAGATAGTGACCGACGAGTGCTGTCCAGAGAAATTCGGAAGAACTGCACCCAACCGATGGCCCTAATCCACGAAAAGTTTCAACAGGCATCCGGGAGTATTGTTTCAATGAATACCATCCGTAAGGAAGCACATCTGCTTGGTTTTCATGGTCGTGCTGCTGAACATAGGCCTTTGATCACAAATACCAACCGCGCTGCTCGGTTAATGTGGTGCAAAGCACATCGAAATTGGACCGTAGATCAGTGGAAACGGGTTCTTTGGAGTGACGAATCAAGGTTCACCCTTTACCTTTCGGATGGCAGGGTCTGGGTCTGGCGTCTACCTGGAGAACGTCTCCTGCCAGAATGCATTGTGCCAACAGTCAAGTTCGGCGGAGGTGGAATTATGGTCTGGGGGTGTTTCTCCTGGTATGGGTTGGGACCCTTGGTTCCCATTCATGGTAAGCTCAACTCCGATACCTACTGCACTATTTTGGATGACAATGTGCTTCCTACGTTGTGGCAGTTTTACGGGTTGGACCCCTGTTACTTTCAGGACGACAATGCCAGTTGTCATGTTTCGACGTTAACCAAGGCTTGGTATGGTGCCAATGGAGTTCATCGAATGGACTGGCCTGCCCAGAGTCCAGGCATGAACCCTATCGAGAACCTCTGGGACGAGTTGCATCGCCGAATTCAGGGGTGCACTACCCGTGCAAAATCGGTGAAGGAACTTCTATGTCTTCTCCAAGCAGAGTGGAAGAAAATACCACTAGCTGTCATACAAAGACTTGTGGAAAGTATGCCCCGGAGGGTCTGCGCTGTAATTACCTCTCGTGGAGGCTCTACCAGCTATTTAATTTGAATAAAGTTAGTTTTTCTTTTCTATCACAGGTGTCCAAATACTTATTGGTAGTCAGTGTATAAAAATTAGACATTTTTAAAAACAATTATAAAAATATGTGAAATAAATCATACTTTTTTAACTAATTCTAGATCATCGTATGTCTGATTTTTCTGCCGACACAGATACATTTCCGAATCCAACGCTAGTGCAGTTAGGTAGTGACTATTCTTAATATATTTTAGAGTATTTTATAGCAGATTCAGCACTTTATTATTATTTGCATTATTTTCTTATTACGAATATATTCCATACATTATACTGTAAGTGTTTTTTTGGGGGGGCGCCAAAAAGTTATTTTGCCCCAGGCGCCAGTTATGCTTGCTACGCCACTGACCAGATGTTTTCATTGGGTGAGAGTCTGGAGCACGTGTTTGTCAGTCGAACACCCTTTGTATCGAGGAAGGTCAGGACAGTGCGAACAACACGCAGTAGTGTATGATCTTGCTGAAATATGGTGTCACACAGACCTCGACAATAGTGTACAGCCATGGCCTTAACACGTCAGAAATGTTAATGGCGACAGTACACATTACCGGCTGTTCGAACTCGAAATAACTGGAATGCGTACCCAATGATACCCCATACCAGCATGCCAGTTGTTAGGTCCGATTGACGATGGCGAATATTATACAAGCTAGCAAGTTTTGTTTTTCTTGGTCCTTTCACACACAGATACATCCTTATGAAGCTGTATGCAGAACCGAGATTCATCTGAAGAAAGGACATTGTGACAGTACTGTGTCATCGTTCTTCGCACCACTGTAGGTGAAACTGTCTCTGCTCCAACGCCAAAGAAAGCTGCAATAGTAGTCATCATGCTGACAGTCCGCAGTGCCGCAGACGTCTTCGTGCACACGAGCCAAGTTTTTGACTCAAGATACTCGTAAGTGACGTGGCTGTAGCATCGCGCAAGGACCAGAGAGGACATTTTCGTCTTCTCGAGAGCTAAGGTAGTATCACATACTCAGAACATGGACTGATTGATTGCCTGATCTGATAGCGTCCTAACACCGCATAAGGGTGCAGCGTGTCTGGCTCATTTGAATGATGTACCATTTCGGAACAACTGTTTAATACATTTTTTCTACTTTGCCTAATGACATGAAAAAACTAATCTCCATGGATCACTTGGGAGTTACCATGTAAAGGGAAAAAAACTAGTTCGCTATTACAAATGATGGTTGATGATAGGGGATTCAATGTTAATAGCTTGTTGAAAAGGAACAACTTACAATTTTTGGGGAAAGGAAGGAAAAAACCGTGCGTCTTTCTTTCACTTTTAAAGCAGATAGAAAATTTGTTTGAAATAGTTATCCGTCTGAAACAAACGAATGTGTACTAGCAGTCTTAGTGTCCCATGGTCGCTGAGATCCTGCATAGCGATTAGTATGACATAGTATGCCAACCCTGAAATCTTAAAATCGGGGAGAACCTGAAAGGTTTCCATTCTGTATATTTTAAGACGCCATTTCAAAGGAACTCCAAACTGATTTTATCTCAGCTTAACAGGTTATTGAACAGATAACCTGATAAACTCGCAGATCAGATTATTGAGCTATTTATAATTCAATTCTGGTGTAAAACATATTAGCGCTTAATTGAATATTCTACATTTTATGTTTTTTTGGATAACTTCTTTTTAATTATTTTACACTTTTATATTCAGAAAATCTCGATTAGTGAAGGAACGCTTTTGTAATCAAAGTACTTTTAAATACGTTGGAAATAAAATGTTTAATGTTCATAGTATTTGTGTGGATAAACTTAGTAATGTACCATATATTGAATTAATGAGGATTAAATATAAATATTAACTGATTAAACATTGCTGGAATCTCCATATTAAAATCTACAGATGTCTACAGTAGATTAAGACAACTCAGATCAAATGAAATTTAATTAAAAAAATTAATAAGACAAATATTTAAAAAAAAATAGAATTCAGATGAAATAAAATTTAACGAGAAAAATTATTCCGAAAATTATTAGAGGGAATGGAATTTTCTTAATTTCATTAATTAATAAATTTCATTAATTGCTGGAAACATTTCCCTTAATAAAGGCTGAAAGTTAAAAACCAGATGATGAGTTGGCATCTATGGTATAGCCTTCTTGAACCCATAAATTT